GTCTCATCGTATTGCATGAGAGTGAACTATGACGGGTGCGCACCAGGCGAGGCAGCTTCGTAGATGAGCTCGGTCACGGTCGGCCGACGTTCGCGTGTCCTGACCGAAAAGCCGTCGGGGTCTTGCACCTCCGAGGCGTCACCGCCGTTCATGACTTGCTGCGAAGCGAAAAGAGCGCGCAGGGTCAGCTCCGGTGCAAAGAACGAAAGCGAAGGGCAGAAACGAAGAGCGAAAGAGAAGCAATTAATAAATAGTGAAAAATTGTGCACAAAAAGGCACAGCGGAGGGGACGCACCGGCAGACGGAAGCGAACTTGGTCGGCCTCGTCGTCTTCTTCGTCAGATGAAGAGGGTTCTATGACGAAGAGATCTTTATACTTGTCCTTCCCCTTGTTGCTGTTGATCTTCAACACGGGCACCTTGTGCTCCTGCATCTCCATGCCCTCATCTTCATCCGATGAACCCCCGCCGAAGCGCACCTTGCGCCGTTCGTCTCCATCCATCTTTCAAAAAACAAAAAATCTTTGGTTTGTTTGCCTCACTCCTTGCAACACCAAACGATAAAAGATGTCAATAAACGTCCAGAAAAATTAAATAAAAGATGTGCGAGTTTGCAGTGGTGCTTGCTCGTGGGCTATTTTAGACCACACAAAATGTAAAGCATAGTGTGTGGCTGCCGCAGAGCATCTTGAAATTCCTGGCCATGTGCAAATAGCCGTTGCACGACACAGAAAGAACAAATAGGCGCCAGGGGCAGCCTCCGTTCCTCCACTTCCTGTATGGCGGAGCAAGCTACCCAACGCCGACCCTGAGGAAAACCAGAAAAACCCTGCAAGAGCTGGTGAAGTCTTGTTGTTGCTCTCCATGCCATTGTTGTTGTTGTTGTTCATGCTGCTGGGTGTAGCCCTGGCTTGTGTGGTGAGATCACATGCTTTTTGAGGGCCTCCTTCTCCTGCTTCCACTGCTGGGGTGTGTGCAGCTCAAACACATTGTGGGTGTCAGCCTTGTGGGTCCATGGCAGCAGGACATCAGCCTCACACTGCTTGGTGTACTCAACCAAGGCTGCCACAGCAACATGAGCACCACCAACAGTGCCACACAGGCCTTGACCAACTCTCTTGAGCATTGCCATTGTTGCAGTTGTCCAGTGAAGAAGCAGCAGGGGGGGGTATGAAGTGGGAGATGTGGTGCCTATTTGTTTGCACCAAACAATGGTCTGGCTGGTTTGTCATATGTCTTCCATCCTTCCTATTCCTTTGTCCTGCCTTTGGGGGGGGGGCTGACACCTGCTCCTTTTACTCAAGCACAGCCACAGCTGGGGTGATTTACACCTGAAGTGGTTGCTGCATCACTTGGAAAAGAAGCAAAAAAAATAAATAATAAGAAATTTCCACTTTTATCACAATGGGGACATCAGGACCTGTCACCCAAGCAACATGAATGAAGTTGATGGGTTGTTGATGGGAGGGGGGCTATTTCTTGCTGGAGGAGTGCCGCGTCAGCAAAGCGGTCCGATACGAGAACATTTCCTCTTCATTTTCATTATACGAGATAATTAATTCTTTCTCTTTTCCCAACTTTCTCTCTGTTTGGCGCCATTAAAGCCGGAATTGGCCGAAATTTGGGCTTTTTTACTGTTAATGTGAAAGAGCAACTGGGAAGTTGGCTGATTGCGGCCAAAATGCCAACATAACCCTAAAGGTACTTAGAATGATGCTCAAGGCTAAAGGAGTAGACCAGAGGAGCATCTTTGAACCAAACAACTCCACCAGGCCTGAAGAAGGCAAACACGATGGCATCACCTGCAGTTACATCCAAGAGACTTGAGCAATCCAGCCAGGCTGGAGGTCTGATCGCACTTGTTCTGTACCTGGCATCGGCCATTCTCCTCATCGTGTCATCGGCACTTACTGTCGCAAGTAGGGACACTTCTCTGGGTATCACTGGTGCCACCTCTGGCGCGTTCATCATCGTATGCCCCCCCCCAAACCTAACCGCGTCTGTCCATGCTGTGCTTGGTTCACTAATGACCGTTCTCCTTGTGTATTGTCGTTATAGGCTGGAGGTGTTGTCACTTTCTTTGCCGAGTATCTTCTCATGAGCGCCTTGCGTAGGCGGCGGGTCCCGGAAACAACCAAAGCAGCGCAAGGCAACATGATTTGGTCGGCAGTCCCCATCACCGCCGGTACTACACACTTCGTTCCAAACAGACAGTTTCTGGTTTTGGCCAGAGCGAGTCATTGCTGATACACCATTTGCAGGGGGCATTGTCTACACCATTGGCTATGCACTCAAGATCGGTCCGGCTGGCGCCCCTGGTCCAAGCATCATCGCCACCATTGGTGCTGCCGTGCTGCTGTATGGACTCGTCAATCGACTGCTCGTCATTCAGGTTTCCAGACGAAGGCGTACCTTTCCTGGGTTCCTCCGGGTTGTGGCTATAGACTTCATTGTCGCTGGTACGACTTCTCTCTGCAACCTTGCTGGAACTCACTGCTCATCACCAATGCACCTCATCAGGCGGAATCATGTTTCTATTGACCAACATCATTTATATCATCGGTACGATCTACTGCACACACAACAACAAGGATGAGAATGCAGCTCATGTTGACAAACACCTCATCAGGACCGAGGTGGTCACTGACGCTCGGAGGTATCTTCGGGATCGTTGCCGGAGGTCTCTTCAGCACAGGCTTCATCATCATGATGATATCGCTCGTAATGGACTTTGTCAAGCTTTCGACACAGCCGCCGGAGCCCCTGCTCAGAGATCAAGAGTGACCATGTGAGGCCGGGTGGGGCTGAACCGCGAAGAACATTACGGGCCAACAAGATGTTTTTGTTTTTTCGCAAATACGTTGGCGCTGTTTCGGCCAACAGTTGTAGCCACGGGGTTGTTTTTTAATGGCCCTGAAAAAAAGGTTGTGCATTGCACGAATATGTCACCACACCCACTGCCCTGCACTGGGGTGCATCCGTCGACGACTACGCGCAAACATAACCAAGTACGCCGCGAGCTGCAAGAAGATCTGTCGGTTGCACTACGCGCCATGGCCCGCACGCAGGACAACCTCACCCTTGTCTTCAACGAAGCCATCCGCGACATGAAATAGAGAAACTTGACTTGTTTCTCCTCCAGTAGTAGTAGTGGTAGTGGAAGAACCAAGACCACGTTCAAGGACAATGGCCAGGTGGTCATCAGCGAGATCTTCTTTGTCGATTTCACCGTTTACAAGAGCGGCATGCAGCTGTTTCGCCTCCTCGAATGCTGCAAGAAGACCGAACCGGAGAGGGTCATGAAAGTGGCAAAGATGAACCCATACAAGAATGCGCAGCGATCGACAGCAGGACCGGGCAGGTGACGCGAGAGTTTTTCAGGCTCACCGTCTTACAGAATGTTAAGCGCAAGGTGGTAAGCAGCAGCAGCAGCATCAGCAGCGGCCAGGATGAAACAACAGCCATCGTTGCTAACCCAGGCCTCCGTACGGTACTGAAAAAGGGCATCAAGGGAACAGGAAACGCAGCAAGCGCAAGCACGCCGACGAGGACGAGCACCTGAAGAACGTGCAGTGGGAAATGAAGAAGAGGCTGCGGAGGGCCATGAAAAAACCCACGTTATCAAGATGGAAGTCGGGGATAGCGAGATGGTAGACCAGGTGGTGGACATTATCAAGTCTCTGCCCGACCTGGGCAAGTGGGCAGATTCGGGTGCGAGTCACAGAGGGTTCAAAATGAAGGCGGTCGCAAGAACATGTCGCTCATGGTCAAGTGCCACTCGGGGAGGACTGGAGGCAGGGACAAACACTACACTCCTTTTCGAGCTTCCCGAAGATATGATGGTGATAGGACCTGCTCCGATCCTACGGTTGGAGTGAGGGCTGATGCCGTTGCAGCTTCCGTTGTTATCAGCTCCACGTTCGTTTTCGTGAACGCCGGACGCTTGGGAACGGCAGGCTTTGCTGAGCGAGTTTTCGCTCATGGGGTTCGTCTGGACTATGGGATCGGCATCCTCATTGGGCTTGATCATGATAGTCTCGAGAGGCGGCTCTGGTACGACACCATCT